GCGTGGTAGCATGAACCCACAAAGGATGACATCCAAACGGGGAATTGCGAGGGGAAAGCAGAAGAAAGCATTTTAACAAGAAAAAAGTGAGAAGTTTCATTTCGAATATCTCAGCGGCGATGGGACATTTTGATTTATGGGGGGTTGGGGGGCGGGGGCGCCGTCACTGTTGGAACCCAATGCCGGGTTTCCTGCTCTCTGCTTCATTGAAGCACGGGTAACCTGAGCTCATCCCCTCCCATACAATAGCAGAGACGCCGCCATCGGGTCAGAGGGCGACTCACCTGTGAACAAAGACCCGACTTGCAGTCGAGCGCCACAAAACATGTCTGAAAGCATCTGGCCATCTCTGAGGTTATTTCCTCACGGAGCATCGGAGAAGGAGAGCATCGACGATCGACATTACGTCTTCTCACTTTTGCGATTTAGTCGAAACTCAACTCCGAATCATTCTTTCGTGTATGCGGGAGCTACATTTATTCTCCCATGAAAGACCAGAGTGACACTGCACTGCCAACTTTAGCTTATCCACATCCCCCCCCCCACCCCCTCCTCCCAGCAGCTCTTGGCTCTCTCTTTCTCAGCAAACAGCCACATTGGGGCGGGGGGTTTAGGGACTGTTTTGTGGACCTCCTTCACCCATATGCCTTTCCAGTACCTTTCAGTCTTTCAGGTCTGGGCTTCCATGGACCAACAGGCCTAGGCCGTCTCCTGGCAACAGTATCCCATGGAGAGAGGGAGCCTTGGCGGGGAGAAAAGGGGCCGCTGGGAACGAGGCTTTTGTGAGGACGGTTTGAGTACTTCGGAGGAACGGCCGCTGCATGTGCAGGAAGCTCGCGACACACGACGGCTTGGTTCTTGGAATTGAGTTCCTTCCGAGGCCTGTCCCTGCCATCACAAGGACGTTTGTTTCAACAAATTATGACTCGGGACGCGCAACCAGGGCCACCCCTGTTGAGGTTTTCGACACATGAACGTTACCCGGGAAAAATCAGTTGGTTGAATTTTGACATCGGCGAAGCAGACGCGGACGACATCCAGTTACAATCGATTGCGGCAACACTCAGTCAAGTTTGCCCCAAGCGTTGATAGATTTTTGGAGGCGGCTTCCCTGACATTTTTCAAATAGCAGCAATAACCACATGACATGCATCCCAGGGCCGAGGTCTTTCCAAACATTCTGCATCAGACACAACCACAGCGCTCCCCACCAACCACCAAAGCTAAGCCAGATTTCGACAAAAAACTTTGAAATTCAGATCAGAACTTATTTTTTTTTCACCATGAAAGACGAGGCCCTGTCCAGAATTCCTCCGACCTTTCAACGCAACTGCAACAGAGAAAGAAGATCATTTCGACTTCTTAAGGCCTTCATTGCCGTTTAACTACAACTGACTGTACGGCAAGTGGAGGAGGATTTTATCTGAGACACCACCATATCCTGATACTCGTAACAAGATGATACAAGGCGCAAGGATGAACTCTACCAAACCCCCTAAAAACAAAAATCAAACCAGAAATCAGATATCGTAATTGATTCTGTCACACGGACTGAACCTGATGGTAAGCCGCTGTGATTAGACAGGATGCGTGGAGCACAAAGGTCAGAAGGCAGAACTTCCTGGCAGGGCCTGGGAACCACAACTCCCCGATTGCAATTATATACAAATATCATCCTCCCTCTAATAGTTGAAAACATAATGGTCAGATAGATCCTTTTAAATCATTTAGCTAAAGTGTTCGGCAATCCATTGTGGCCTGACTCGCAGCTAATTGTCAAGTCAAACATTCCAAAGATCAGGAGCCTCAATGAGACTGTCGAGGGCATTCCTGAATAGGCTTACAGGGTGAATGGTTGGGAAGTATGGACAATAACCTGTAACTTCCAGAAAGACAGGAGCAATCTTAGCCAGCATTCCTTTTCTAATCCGCCGTAAAGATGCCCAAAGAAAACACTGCCTCGCTAGCTAGCCCGGTGCTGTGGACAAAGACACAGTCACTCTCCTTGTGTCCAGCCAGCCAGACAGACAGGGGAATATGTGACCTGGCATGGCTGCATATTGCAGTGGAAGAGCTGGTCAACTCACTGCAACAAAATCAACATACTCTCATTTAACTCAAACAAATCAGCTCATTATTTAAAAAGCTATTAACGTCTTACAAGACAAGAGCATCCAACCACCGTGATGTTTGCGCACTATCAAAATACAGCCATCCTTTCATCATGTCTTGAGGGCCTGGGAGTAGTTTAAGGGTCACGACACAACACTCACAATTTATGCGCTAACTCGGTAACGGAGGCCAAAGGCAACACGTTCATAAATAAAGCGCGCCACCAGCTAGCGCTTCCACATGCGGGCGGGCCGCAACAGGCTCGACAACTGTTTTTCTTTCTGGCTAATTTTACACACATCTAATACAGAACAGTGATTGATGTCGGAAAATAATAAAAGTCAATACATAAACCTGTCACATCATCTTTAGTGTTTGCTAGCTCTTGATCCAAGGGCAAGAGCTGTCTTTTTCACTTCGAAGCCAACACAATTGAACAATACGAAACTCTACCTGGCAACAGGTGGCAAGGCCAAACATGATGTGAAGAATTTGTGCACTTCGAAAACTGCCACCGAGCTGAAATTCCACTTGAGAATTTTTGGAATGTCAGGAAAATTTCAGTTGTAATGTATCCTATGGGGATAAAATGGCGGCTCAACAACTACCTAACAGCTAGCGGGTTGTTGAACCGCCATTTTTTGTTTCTCCATACAACAAAGCTGTCCAACAGAGGTTGATGTCAACATGTGGCGACTGAGTGAGTATTAGTAGTCACTCTTTGAAAGAATAACATGTGCTAGCGAGCTAGCAGGCGAGCCCGCTCCTCGGCTAGCTTGTCTCCCACAGCATGGGGGCCGGCATGCTACTCAATGGCAGCACCTGGCCCTACGCTGTCCCTTTGTTGAGATCTGACTTCGCTGGATTACCATCACAACATCCACCAGCTGTCCTCTACGCTGCACTCCTCCCCTCCTCCTCCTAGCCGGACCCCCACTACTTGTTCACCAACCCCTCCACCCCCAAAAGTCCGGCTCCTCCAGCTGGATCATCTCCGAGCGACACCCTCTCAATCTGCTTAATTATCTCTCCTGCGCTCATATCGTTGGCGCCGCCCAATCCAGGCTGCATGTGAATGAAAATATTTGCTTTCACTTTCACATTTTTGCTTTCCACTTTCATCGGAGAATTTTTGCTTCATAACACAACTTAAATAATTGGATGTGAAACAGCGTGCTAATGCTAATCAGAGCATCATTGAAGCCCCTGTTCTCTGTCTCGGTGGGGCTGTCATGATAAAATGGCTCTCAGCTTCAAAATTCAAAATGGGGTCACCGTCGAAATTTGCGATACTGTTGTCAAGTCCAAGCAATTAAAGAAATGTGTATAATTTTTGCTACTAGGAGTCTAATACATTCATTTTGTCGTTAAAAGGAGTAAGGATTGGACTCTGACCTCTCGTCCTTCAGTGACTCACCTGTTCAGGAAGTCGGAACACTCATAAACTTGTTTGATGTGCCGCTGCTAAACTGATAGGGCGTGACATCATGGCCGCATGGGACATTAGATACACCGCTATCTGGGTGAGCAACAAAGGCAGCTGCCATATATACCGCTAAAGTATCCATGCCACTTGGGATAAAACAAAATATCTCAAGTTTGGAACTACTTTCTGACTAAGAGATTCTTTAATGTACAAATACAGGGTAGCAGAAATCACTTTTATAGGTAAACATCCAAATTAAACCCAGTTTCTGCGACGTTCTCTTTCCTGCACCCACTTTGTGCACTCTGGATCAGGTATCTGGAAGAAGAAAGGATCTTTTCTACTCATGTACATCTTTGTTCTTTTCTCCAGGTTGGGGGGGGGGGCGGTGGTTAGTGACCTCAGGATCCAACTGGTCCAACAACTCTGTGCTTCGCTACTCTGCCCTGCTCGAGTTTGATATTTGATGTCCTCTGTTTGCTGGAGACACTTTTTTATTTAATGTCACAGCAGTGCATTTTGACGCCCCTCCATAAAAAAAGGGTCATCATGCCATTGTGTTCTCATTAAACCAACATTAAAAAAAAAAACGTCTTTGTTCATTCTCAGTGTTTTCCTGGCCGCATGAAATTACACATTGACCGATTTAATGGCACTCAGGCCACATCCCAACAGCACATGACTGATAAAACGTGGGTGGCGGTTGCTGCAAATGTGGCTCGGCGATGCGGACGAGTTACACATTGGTGAGTGCAGTTATGTCTGCCTTACATTTGGTGACTGAGATTTACGCATAGAGGGGTAAAAAAAAAAAAAAAAAAAAGAGGATAATTCTATTGCTGATGTGACTTTTCCTTCCACGAAAATGTGGGCCTTTTGGAGGGAAGCAGGTGGCGGAGACGGCTTCTTTTGGACCGTATCTCCTCAGTACGACACTTAAGCATGCCCCCCCCCACCCCACCCCTTGAAAAAAAGCTACAACGGGGGCTTGAAAGAGGACAAGTGACCCCGGGGCAAGACACTGTAGGCTACTTCACTTGACTATTGTCGCAGCTTTTCCCACACAAACTTTTTTTCTGCACCCCTCCCCCGCCCACCACCCCTTAGCAATTTGAAAAACAAAAAGTCTTCTCCGTGTCAAAAGACGTCCGAAGCAAGCGGTAAATGAGGACACGTCAATTCAACGAATCAAATAAAAGCCCGGTTTCTGTGGAGACATTTAACAGGTGTACAAGAGGCGTGTGGAGGCTTGCTGATGCTCGTACTTTGGATAATCTTTTAACAACATCTACCGCCGCTTTCATAGTACGTCAACTTAAAGAAGGAATGTTTATCTGAGTGACGAGATAACAGGATGAGGGTTTACTGGGAAAAAGTTGACACCTCTCGTTGAAAGAGCGCCCCTCAAAAAAAAATGCTAAGAGAATTGAATGACACTCAGAGTCAAATGAGTTGCACTTACATGCATCGGGAGGCCGACTCTATGCACGTCCCTCCGTTTTCACACGGCCTGGATTTATCTGTGCATCGGAAACCTGTGGGGGGAGATGTGACAAATGACTTATGTGGAACCCATGCAGCAGCAAATCTCCAAATAATGAGACAAGACTGCAACAGGGAGGACAAACTGATGTGACCCCACCGCGCCTCTTATCTGAGCTCAGCCATGCAGCTTGTGGTTTCTGTCCAATTTTCAAGTGTTTCTGATGAGAACGTGCTTCATTTTTTTTTTTTTTTTACATATAATTGGAAAGAGAGAGAGAGAGAGTGTGTGTGGTGGGGGGGAGGGGGGGGGTCAATTAATTTATCCCTCACTTAAAAACTTCTTTAAAACATACTTCTGCAAGACAGGCTCCTTGGTGCACCTACGTTTTAAAAAAAATCTTGCTGAATTAGCATAATAGCGAGTCCCATCCACATGCACGAGCGCAAAGACATTTTTAGCATGGAAAAAAAAAAAGGTTCATTAACATTCAAACAAGTGGTCGTGCTTCACAGCGCTGCATTCACACGATTGCTACACGCGACATCATTTTAAAAACGGCAATAAATTCAATTGGGAGCACTTCCAAGATGCACGCAAAGAGACTCTCCCCTGTTTTAAAACAAGGGGTGACCACATTGTCGACATGTCCGGGCAAATGACCAAAGACTTATTTACCTTCAGAAAGATGCATCGACAATAAACAAGACAAAATAATCCACGGAATATTCCCTTCCATTTCGCTGGAAAAAAAAGTTTCCGGCACTTTGTGGCGCCCTTTCAGTACAAATACATCCTTCAGGTATCAAATTGGCGTGAGAAAGAAGGCTCCGGAGTGTGGTGGCCACGATGCTTCTTCCTTTGTCATAAAGTCGACCGGGAAGGAAGTCGCGTTAAGTCCCGTAAGAAATTGGCAGGGGGTTGTTGGGGGGGGTAAAAAAAAAAGTCCTCCGCAGCTCAGCCACCACCGCGGATCCTCCACGACTGAGATTCTTTGAAAAACTTTGGCTGCTCGGATAGGAGCTGAAGCAGCACACTGAACACACTCCGCCTCTCTCGCTCTCTCTCTCTCGCTCTCTCTTTCTCTCTCTCACACACACACGCACACACACACAAGCACACGCATACGCACACGCACACGCACAATTACTTCACTCCACTGATTCACGTACACGCACGCACACACGCCGAGCTTCGAGCAGCTCGAAGATCCTTAACAGGCTTTATTGGCTCCATTGTCATTCAAAGCTAGCGTTAGTCAGTTTAGAAACAACAAAAAAATCCGATATGAAAGGGGTCATGAAAAGGACTGTGATCGTTTTTATTACGTTTTTAAACAGTTTTTAACGTGCGCAAGCACGCACACACAATTTAATTAATCGCAGTTTTTTGTAATTGATCGCGATTAATCGCATTTTTTTGACTCCAACTAACTTCTATGAAGCTTGTGACAGATATTTCCTTGAGTGAAATCTTGGATTTCATATGAATGTGGATAAACTTATTCTCCTGTAAAATACAACTGCTGAACAAAACGACAGACTCGGTCGGCTTTACAGGCATATAATTTTTCGATAAAATTGTGATTAGTATCTGTGTACAACAACGATGAAGGTCACAGCGTGAAAGAATAACTGTTTTACCTTTCTTCTTAAATATGAATCAATGATTAAATATTTTTCCATGGTCTGTCTTAAGGATTTTGTTTACTGTACTTCATTATTTCCTACTCTGTGCTGTGTAGATGCAGATTGGTACAAAAAAAAAAAAACAGAGCGCTAATACTCACTGCACACACTGTCACCTAATGTAGTGGATGTGCAATTACACTTTATTCTAGTATGGTTAAAAAAAAAAAAAAAAAAAAAACGGGGGTCGCGGGTTCCCTGGGATAACAAATTTCTTTTGTGGAAGGGTCTGTAGTTTATTTGTGTGTTTACAGTTTGTGCATGACAGATGAGATTGCTAACTGTGTTTATGTGGCTGCCCCCCCCCCAAAAAAAACCCAAAAAACAAAACCGAAAAAAAAAAAAAAAAAGCCTAGCCTCCCTCATCTTAACACCCCCTCCACACACCTCACATCAGCTTGCACCTTGTATAGAGCCTTGGTTGTTCGGCGGTCAGCACGGTGCCGCTCTCCCCCGGAGACAATAGCCTTGATTTGAATCATAAAAGAAGTCGGGCATTATGACACAGTTTCTCCCCCGTCGGGGAGGGCGGCGCACTAATATTCAAGCTCACTGCCCCGATGCCACCGTCCCACCATGGCCACATGAGAGCCGGCCTTGAATAAATTACAAGCATGGGTAAAGCCGTGAATGCGGAGGGATTGGTTGGGAGTGAAGTTCGTTAGTGAAGTGATGTCATCGCAGGGATCTGTGAAAAGAACTTGTTGGGCTTTTGGAGACGCCTGCTTCCTATGGCACTCCGCATGAGATCAACGATCAACAAATGTTCAATGGTAGGAAGGGTTTCTTCGCACACTTTTACTTTCAGCAAGATATTTCGTGCCGCTGCTTGTTAACACCTCAAGCGTGTTTTAGCAGCGGTGGGTTGAAATCATTTTCAATGCACATGTTTTAATAAACATTGAACTTTATGTGACCGTTGTTTGCTAACCCCGAAATGGATTTTTTTTTTTTTTTTTCAGAGCAGCAAGCGTGAGTGGAACAGTTAGCTTCCACAGCTAGGCTGGGGGCAAAGAAGAAAGGAGGTCTTCCGCATTTGCATAAGCAACGTGATGGTGTTATTAAGAGGTGGATTAGGTCACTTAAATACCCACTGAGGCTCGGACCGAAACTCACCCCAGTTTCTTAAAGGGACGGGACGGCACGGGAAAAGCAGCGCAGGAGGAGTAGCATTAGAGTGCAACGTTGACTCATCTCCAGATTTAAGAGGTCTGTTTACATGCCAAAGGATAACTTTCTACATGTTTCTATCCGTCCCCCCCATAAAAATAAAAAATAAAAAAAACTTCAAAGGACTGCCATCCATCAATCCATTATCTAAACTGCCTGTCCTCACATTTAAAGAAACAAACACTCACAATCACACCTATGGACAAAAGAGAGGCGTCAATTAGCTCGCAAGCATGTGTTTGGCATGGGGAAAACGTGCCAACTCCACAAAGGAAGGCTGGAGCTGAGAGTCACAAAACCTTAGCAAATTTGTGGGGTAAAAACTCCCCAATTTTTTTGGAAAAATACATCGATCCTGGTATAAATGTTGATTTTAGGGGTGCTGAAAGCCGAACCAGAATCTTCACCCATGAAAGTGTCATAAACTGGACACAAAATTGTGTGCATGTCTTTCAACGTATGATAGACATGGAAAAGTCTCAAGGACCCGGGAATTCGGGGAGCCATTTCAGGTGATCTCCAAGACTCACGCCCCAACTTTTCTCAAAATGAGCCCCGCTAGGAAGCAGGCAGCAGTCAAAGATGGACGGCAGAAAATTGCCAAGCTTTTTTTTTTTTTTGTCATCTAATGCGGCCGGAGCATTCATCCATTTTCGAATCCACTTATCCTTACAAGGAGCGCGGGCGTGCTAGAGCCCATCCCAGCTGTTTTCGGGCAGTATGCAGGGGACACCCTGAACCGGTTGCCAGACAATCGCAAGGCACACATACACAAATAACCATTCGCAATCACAATCACACCTTGGGACAATTTTGAGTCTTCCATTAACCTGCCACGCATGTTTTTGGCATGTGGGAGGAAACCAGAATACCCGGAGAAAACCCACGCAGGCACGGGGGGGCTCGCGGGGGGCATGCAAACTCCACGCAGGAAGGCCGGAGCCGGGATCGAACCCTGCACCTCTGCACTGTGAGGCAGCAGATGTGCAAAGATCTGTAAAGATCGCATTGCTTGACTGATGAAACAATCTGAAAATTTCGCTTCCTCCTCTGATGTCATCAATAGAAAAGGAGCCGAGTCTTCCCAGTGGAAATGTGATCTGGCCTGCATTGTTGTATTGTTCTACAAGTGAAAACAGAACTAAATCACGCAGCAGGACAGCCTCCATTCTTTCTCTTGAAGTCGTACGGAGCAGCAAACAGCAATTTCATTACAAATCCGCCGGGTTATTTATTGGCACTCTCTCACGCGCACGCAAACAAACAGCAAGTATTGGGGTTTTGTTTGGACTGCAGGCTGGGGCTGCGTGAGTGGAAGCTCTGGTGGCAAAGTTCTCGCGCACGGCTGGGAGGGGGCGGGGGGATTCTTTGATCACACAAACAAGCCCGTCGACTTGGCGATTTATAACTCAGGGCGATTTATAACTCCGCCGCTCTTCACACCGCCGCTTACCTTACGTATGACCGGGATACAACATGTACAGCGGAACGGAAGTTCTTGGTATCCCAATACTTTTGTCCATATGTTTCTCAATTAATGTGATGAAGGCTAATTATGCAATATTTACCATATGTGATCGTCAAATTTGATTTTAGAAGGATATTCTTCAAATAACACCAAAACCAAGGTCAGAAGCCGTTGAATTTTTACCAATCCATCATCCTCTTTTTGTTTTTTTTTTTAAGCTTGGTGGCCTTTCAGAGCGTTACTAGGCAGTGTATTTGTGCCTGCGCGCATGTGTGGACACAAAAGTAGACGTGATGACTCCACCGCCCAAGGCAAGACTGATATATGGGCAAAAACTATCAGCGTACCCACAGAGAGCCCGGAGAGGATTTAAAAGGCCACCGTCAAATAAAAAGTGCCTGCTCACGGCCAATCGCGGCACCGAGACCTCCTGCGGGGCACGCGTTACGGCCAATCAGATGATGATGATCTTTCATAATTTGCACAGCACTCGAGCGTCAAGTGTTGTGGGATTCTGGAATGTAAATTAAAAAAACAAAGGCCCAATGCTGTTGTTGCCTACAAGCAAGGCATGCACGCACACACACACACACACACACACACACACACACACACACACACACACACACACACACACACACAGTATAGATAAGATAGCCGCCCCTTCGTTGATGCCGGAAGACTGACATCATCCATTTGAGGGGGGACAAAACAAACAAACTTTTCTTAAGAACAACTAACAGGCACTAACTTTCATGAAATACAAATTCTTACAACAGTAATGTAGACATATACAGTGCTTATAAAAAGTCTGCACACCCTTTGTCGTTCAATGCAAAAAAAAAAAAAACTAAACCATAAAATAAATTTAAAAAATGAGACCACGATTGCAAAACTTCTTCCGCCACAAATGTGACCTTTAACCTTGACAATTGAATAATAAAATGAAACTATTTGAATGGGATCTTAAAAATCAACTAAGATAATCTGGTTGCATAAATGTGCACACCCTGTTCTGACTGGGGATGTTGCTGAGGTGGGAATGAACCAATCCTCATTCAAATACGCACACGTGCCACATTGAAAGTGCCTTTGAGTGACCGCAAATGAAGTTGAGATGTTCTAGTAACGCTTTTCCTGGCAATTTTTTCAAGCCACGCTCGCAGAGAGCTTCCGCAGCATTGGCGGGATTTCATATTTCAAAGGTGACTTGAGACAAATCGCCAAAAACAATGTGCGACTAGGCTGGATCATATCGAGAATTGTTTCCAGATCCCTCGTCCAACGACACGAGAGGGTCAAAATATTAGAAACAGGCTCTAAGTGTGATGCCGTGTAGCGTCTAAACAACCACGATAGCAACGTCGATTTAAGATTTCGACAACTTGAATATTTCACAAAGTGGAAAACAAAATTCGTTTGTTTTTTTTTTGGAACCCCCCCCCACCCCCAATTCAGATTTCGATATTCTGAAGTGTCCACTGAGGCTATGTGTATCGGTAATAATTTCCATTCTTATTTTTGCTCTTACACTCCCGCAACAATAAATGTGTCATCTTGGACATTGAGAGAAAAGACCAGCGTTAAAACTTTTCTCTCCACTTTCTCCGCGCTCTTTTTTTTTCTTCCCCTCCCATCCACTTACTCGGGACACACACACACACGCAAACACGCGCGCGCAGAGC